ATAGCTTTTAACAGCTGTACCTTCAATGACATTTGAGGATTTGCGACAATATGAACGTAAAGAATCACTGAAGCCATGGGTTCCTTCATACTACGCCGCAGCATGAAGCGTACGCAGTCACAGTGAGAATACTCATGGCAGCACCCGCTGTTTATCAATGTATCCTATATCTGCTGCTCGTTCGTGTTCTCAGAGAGTATTCCTTCAAAGTTTGCGATATTTTTTCTCTTTTGAATTGTCTCATTGTTGATATGTTTTTTACATTTTGAATTCGTGTGCTCCCTCGACTTTTGATTTTGCACAGTTTCCATCATGACTAACCAACAAACTGGAGCGAGATAAGTTTCGTGGAATTTAGGGCGCACATAAAATCAAAACTGGAATGAAGGCTTATTTGTTCGACGATGAAGCAAGGTAAAACAAAAGAAAAATATTGCAAACTTTAAAGAATTATAAGATAATTATCAAAGGCGATTGCTTTGCATAATCAAATTTTTACTGCTGCGTATAAATTAAAATAGGTTAGCTAATAAACAATTTCGGTCGCTAGTGTTATGGTGTATGCACTTCAGAGATTTCTAACCAGAAAACGCATTAGCAAAGGAATTGCCTTTGATGCATGGGTTCAGCGATTCTTTACGTTCATATTGTCGCAAATCCTCAAATGTCATTCAAAATACAGCTGTTAAGATCTATGCGGTGTAGGTGTATATCGATGAGCTTATCGAAAACGCAAACGCAGGCTGCCCAGAACTATGCTCCCGCTATTTCATTGTGAATAGCTTTCTTGCCTTATGGTCTTTGGCGGGATTATGCTTGTCGTTTTGTAGAGCTGGCTTTAAGCTAGATGCTTGCTATAAAAAATTCGATTACGGATTGCTCTTTGCCACTGAAGTAGTACGGTAGGAACAAAGAGGGCCTTTTTGTTATGATTCTCACAATATTTTTTGAACTGTTCTACTCTGCTTGACTGTCTCAGCACATATATTAGGTTGGTGCAAAAGTTCGTTCGCACCAATTTCAAATTCATAACTCTTTAAATTCTCAACGAATTTATAAGATCTAAATTTTGCCTAAGAGAGGAACTCATGCTCTTTGCATCTGTACCTAAATTGTTCGTTAATGTGTACAAATGAAGGAGATAGAAGCTCAAAACCAAAATTACTCAAAATTTGAATTATTCGTGTAGGTTCATAAAAAATCGGAAACTTGCAACAAAAATCGGAGCAGGCGATATTGTAGGTCCTTTTATCCGCTCTTTTCAACAGTGCAAAGTTTGCGCCGATTGAGCGTCTCTGTGAAAAGTTATGATTTTCGAGCGAGCAATAGAAAAGGGCGAATTTGGTCTATTAGGTTGTTGCAAAAGTTCTGTCGTTTCATTTTCAAAAATTTGTAACTCCGCGAAGTTTCAACGGATTTGCTTGCGTGTAATTTTATTAGAAAGAATAAGTCTTTCGCTTTCAAATGCTGTTCGGTGCGGAGATAAAAATGGAAAACTAAGACTATATAAGCTTTGACCATTTTAAGTTAGGTCACCAAAAATCTGGAATGCCGCAGAAAAATCTGAAATCGTCAGTACATATATTTTTTGACCTACCCTTTGCATCTTTGAAAAAATTGTGCTGTTTGGACGTCTCTCTGAGAAGTTATGAATATTGATTTTATATGGAAAACGCCAAAATTAATTAATTTGTCAATTTTAGCGAAAATCATAACTTCTCACAGAGACGTCCAAACAGCACAAACTCTTCACAGATGCAAAGGGTAGGCCGAAAAACATATGTACTGTAACTTATGGCCCTTTTGGGTCGTTTTGCATAAGAATCGAGTTTTTTATGCTTCGCAAATAAAGTGTGTGTTTTTCGTTACAAGGCGAAAATCTTCTTTGAACGAATGTAACTGTTTTTTGAACTAGTTATCAACTTTCGCAATCAAGAGGTAATTACGGAGTTTATAATAAGTTTTCATTCTCAAATATATTCGCACAACACAAAATTGCAGTTTTGTGAGGAAATCTGCCCATATCAATTTTCGGCTAAATCTACTAATGGAATATGACTCTGAATCCTTTTCTCAAAGTGGCAAAGTCGTATTCGTTTCAAAGGGGCACATTCGCCACCATTCTGCCGAGCTCTGGTTTGATGTCGATCGAGGCCCCTACAAGTGCTTCTTTACCCATTGCAAGCTTGCATGCACCTTATTTGCCTTGTTGCTTGCCCTTCATGCCACACTCTTATCCGCGCTTCTCTTTTTTTATGTTTCTTGTAATCTTACATTAATGCACATTTTTAGAAAATTTTAGTAACATGGATTTACCTGTCACCACTTTTTGTGTTTAGTGTAACTCTCTTTCATTATCCAACTTTGAGATGATTTGCTGACCGCTGGTGGTGTTCGCGTCGTAAAAATGTATTTACTGGTTTGATTTATGTTCGTTAGCAATTTTAAGTACGAAATATTTTTTTTTCAATAAAATTGTCACAAGCGTTCAATAAATTTTTCTAATCTTTCCACAAACGTTGAACTCCCGAGTTTAATCCATGCAATACTAGGTTGACGGATGACTTGTGTTACACGTATCCTCATTCATAAAAATCCGAAGAGCTTTCTGAAGAATTGAAATTTTATCCCATGGTTAGAGTGTAAACTTATCCATCTGCATGTCATTGCCGAAAAAGAACAAACATCTACTGAAGTGACGACAATTTTCAAACTCGACTTTTGTGAGTGAAGTTTTGATCGAGACCACAAAAGTTATGATTTTGGAAAAAACAAAAAAAAAACAAGGACATTTTTTGGATTTTCTTGACAATTTCACAAAATTCATAACTATTGATAAAACAGGTCAATCAATACAACTACGCTCTGTTAGTAAGCAGAGTCATAAATCTTATGACAAGGAGGTGTTTAAATTTTACTACATGGTTTTATCAGGTCGTTCCGAAAGTAATGTCGCTTTTTTCAAACGAACGCCACATCTCGTGGAATAAAGATGTGTAAGAGGTACAGGCAGCATTTGATGCAGCATTTCATTCTCTTTCTAACGGTTATATAAGCACTGCACAAAATTCAATAACTTTTCCAAAAATTATCAAAATCTGCGACCCATGCTTCTTGAGAAGCCAAGCTTCACAATTTTTCCAAATTTTTATAACAATCCTCGAAAGGAGTCCAAGTAATGGATGGATAGAGCAAACACTACAGAAAACAGCACAACTTTTTTCTACTTTCCAGAGCTCGTCATAATTTTTATATAGATTTTTTGATGGAACCACCGAATTTTAGCGGACGTCTCAAACACAAATGTATCAAACACCAATAAATTCTCGGATTTTGAAACTTACAAAGATGGATTATGGTTTCACACTAGTTTTACAAACCAAATGAGCATTCACCGCTTCAGATTAGCAGCTTTCGAAAATTTCGGGTACAGCCTGAGGCGCCCTGGAGAACCTGAATTAAGATGATTTTATCCCGGAAAACTTGATGAATCGGAAACAAAAAACAATTAGTAGAAAGAGAAGAAAAAGCTTCGGAATGACACCCGAGCTGCTTGCCGGTTGTTGTTTATTGGGGGTTTCAGTTGACCAAATATCCAATTTGATAGCATTGAAAAAATGATTCTAAAAACTCTAAGAAGCAAGCTAAAGAAAAGAAACAAATTAATTTGTGTCGTATAGGGTTTGCTTTATATACCTGTTACTTGTACTTCTTCGGAGAATAGGTACAAAAATTTAGAAAAATAGCCGAACTTGACCATGGCAAAAAGCATGAGCCGCAAATTTTGGTAATTTTTTAAGAGCTCATTACATATCATGCAATGCAATTGCAACCCTTAGAAAGAGGATGAAATGCTGCATCGAATGCTTCTAAAATCTCTCGAAAATCTTGATTCCATGAAATGTGGCGTTCATTTGGAAAAAGCGACATTACTTTCGGAACGACCTAATATATTTTTAACGGGCTTGCCTCAAATCTGCAAACCTCAAAAGATCTCCTTTTTTTCACTTTTATCTCTGCAATCAGAGCTCAGTGAACAAGGTGTCAAAGCATGACTTAGCCTTGCTAACATAATTGATGCTAAGCAAGATCATTTTAACAAAAAGAAGTTACGATTTTTGGAAACCGTCTATGAACCTGATATATAGGAGAAACTCAGAAATTAATTTTCAAAGATTCTGGATGAGCTCTCTAGCCAAAATGGCAATGGGCTCCTTGTTGGCAACTACAAAAATGCGAATGCATTATCTCTCTCCACCCTCGTACACCCGAGTCAGTGCCATGTTTGATAAAAATTTTGACTTATCTGGTTGATTGTATGAATGAGCGGCGGTTCATTGAAGGCGCCTTCCACCTAGATTCTCAACTTTATTTTGTCTTCCCTTCTCTGTCGCTGATTCCAAATATGAAGTGAATCCGCGCAAATCCCGTCCTCTGGTTCTCCGAACGGTGATTGGATGGGCGAGCACGGATGAGCGGTCATTACTAGAGAGCGTTTCGGCTTAGGGGTCCTCGTGCCTCTTTGTTATTCCGGAAAAATTTTCTCGCTTCCGAGATGACATTTTGCCTGCGATTTGGTCATTGGCTTGATAACGGATCCTACTACATATCGTACGCTGCCAAAAGCTCAAGACCCCTAACTTAGAGTGAACGTTGCCTTTGTAAAGGAACGACCACAAAGCGACCTTTTATAAATTTACGAGTAAGACACGGATGAGGAGGTGGGCATAATAGCTGAACCATTCCATCTTTTCAACAGCTTTGAAGGAAAATTGTTGGAAAACTATGAAATTTTTTGAATTGAAAGGAAAAAGTATGGCAGAATATTTCTTTCAAACCAATAAACTTGTAAACAAGAACATTTCATCATGGTTCCCTTGCACGTTTTTTTAGGTACCGGGCTACATCGTTTGTAATTCAATACATCTGGTTAACTACCATTCCGCTTGCAGTAGACACGTTTATTTTCATGTTTTCTCGTTTCCGAGCAGTCAGCAAGCATGCTGCTATTCGAAATTCTTGCCTTATGCACAATACTACAGATTATAGTACAACGAACAATATCGAAGAAGATAATAGGTAATCCATTATGCACCACTCTGGCTTTAGATCTTTCAAACAACGTTTTAGCCTACACATCCGAAGTGGAAGATGAGGAAGGCTTGGCCATTTATCAACATTTAACCGTATCCCAAACCTACCACTCTCAAAGCCACAACATGCACGATATCATTGTGAAGCATATTGTCATTACAAACACAACATCTTCAAATCAGCGTAAGCGTGCATGTTATTTTCTTTGAAACAGTGAGTACGCGAAACCCAGTGGCGAACAGAAAGATAAAAAGCAAATGGCTTGTTTCTTACAATGATTTGACACTTGAGTTTTCTAAAAGTTAGCGTTGTAAAAAATCTTGGGGGTTGAGTGATTTATAAAAAGAAATATTGCTTTTCCTGTAAACCAATAAAACTTGAAATTTTCGAAAGTTAAGATTGTAATGAAGTTTTCGGGTAATCAATGGAAAAGACCTATTTTCACCTTCTCCCACGAAAGTCTCGGACCACCACTGCTTGAACCCCATCAAAAGCTGCTCTTCAATCTTTGATGGCTTATAGTTGCGAAGAGTAAACCAGTAAGGAAGTAAAAGTTTAGATTGTGCTTACAATCTGGAAAGCAAATTCAGCTTTTTCTTTGAGTTCAATCTTTTCTCATGATATCTTATGTAAGATTTGGTTTCAGTATGTAAATCGCTTGGTAATGTCAATTTTCTGATTAGTGCTTGTAAGACTGAAGAGTGTCAGCAGCTAGTCACGAATTTGTCACAGTATTCCGGCCTACCTACGGTTCACATTATTCGAAGAAACTGGAATTTTTTATCCGATTCGGTCAATGGTCAGTCTCGAAGTCTTTCGTTATAAGTTTTTGCAGTTCTGGAGTTCCGCATATGACATACACTCCATCAAGTGAACATCAACATGATGCACTTCAGTGCACACTGGACAATCACACGTGGACTGTTGATAGAATGATAAGAACGAGGTTACCTTTGGCGCCTTTACAGCACATAACTGACTGAAAAAAAACCATTGAGCTATCATGCTTTTATGAAATTAACACAAGTTTGCAAGCTACGTTCGGTGTTCTAGATACCGTGAGATCTTTACCATTAGAGTGTAGCATCTAGTGAACGTTTATGTTTGTGGTTGAATTACACATGCACACTCTCAATACAGCATCGGTATGACGTTTCCTGCAGTTGCATCGGCATCACCAGAAAGTAAGTTTATAGATGTCCATTCATAACGTCTACCCACGTAATCAGTGGCGCAATCTATAGGTGAGAGGTCCGAGTAAATCGAAGGTCAACTGCAGTAGGTAGGGTGTAAAAGCGAAGAACAAGAGAAAAATTACGTAAGTTGTTTGTGAGCATCTTACGGGACGTAAGGTGGCATAATACTACAAACAATAATGCGCGAAAGTACACACATTCGGGATTATAGCAGTCAGAATCAATTTTCCCGCGACCGATGTCAAAGATGTCCGGGCCACGTAGCAAAAGTATTGCCACTGGCTGTCTCAAATCACGGCTATGGAGATTATGTAGCGGCAGTTTTATATAAGCTTGCGCAAAGGGTGGAAATGTTTTTTTGCCAGGATACGCGCCTGTGTACAAGCATTCCGCATCTGAATCGATGACACACACTGATGCTGTAGGCCGTAAGTCAACTTTAACCTGCTTTGAGTGACTGGAAATGGCGGAGGTTTACTACGGACCAGTATTTCATCAGTAAATCTGAGAGTGAGAAAGAATTTGTGTAGCTGTAAGTTTCAAAAACTGCAAGAACTGCGGCACCCAACAGCCTCTGATCAGAGCTATACAGAAAAGTAAATGCTCAACTTCAACTGAGCTCGTACGATTGAGTAGGGCCCAGCCCATTGATAGGAAAGGAAGCTACTCACAGTTTTTACGCTAGACTTTCATTTTAGTATTGCAGGCAATGCTTCCAAGAACCAGATATTCTTGATACCTACGACTACTGTGTTCTACAACGTCATTCTGGACATTTTGCCTAGCCTCAACTTATCAACTAATGCGAGCGTTCTGTTCGATTCTGCTTACGGTTTGTATCTAGCCTAGCCTAAAAGCCATCGACTAAACGTTTTTAGGAAACATGGAAAGAACACGAGCATTTTTTGGTATGCTTCCCGTCTTTTTAAACTTCGTAGAAATCCAGAGCAGTTTAAACAGTCTTCAAAAGCAGCTTCAAGATGTTGCTGCGTTTGAACGAGTCATAATTGTCGCTAAGACAACAACCACCGCTGTAATGGTAGCGAGAGAGGTTTGACTTACCTGCTTATTATAATCCTCTCTTTTCCAGAAACAACCCTCTTAAGAAAGTGACTCAAAAAATTGTGAAGGCTCACTTGACTTTCTGAGTTTCAAATTTAGAATAGCTAGAATTTAGCAGAGGAAAATTATTTCTTGGCACAACAAGGAAGTATTAGGTTGTCAAGAGAATGATGTCGCTTTTCATTTGTCAGCTATGCCACCACAACTAAAATCCTAAGAGCGTATGGGAGGGAGTATTCGATAAAGCAAATCAAACTCTACAAACTGGCATTGATGATTCCGCGCCAGTATTGTTTGAAGTTAATCAGAATTCAAAAAAAAATTCTGAATGCCCAAAAGTTGAAAAAATCGCATCTCCGTCTGAAACCTCCTACGGACCTCCCAGTACAATATCTTGGCAAAATTTTCTGGAGCACACGGAAGCTCAAAGCTCAGCACAAGTTGTCAGAACGCAGTCATGCTCAAAAAACAATTCAAAGGAGCCTTCGCAAAGTGCTTGAATTGGGCTAACATATGGCATTCATTGCTCACACTAAATTCGTTTTCATAGATCGGAGCTTCTCTTACGTTAACCGCAAGCGACAATGATCTCTGCATAGCGACAGGTAAAGTGTTGAAGATTGTATATGTCAGGCCAATATAGGAGTAAGTAGAGACCGCCAGTCAAGTTGGGTTATTTGGCCCGCAACAAGTGAAAGAATCAAATACTAGAAAGTCGGCATGCTCGCGCGCAGGAAGACAAGATTGAATAATGTTTTTGCTTGGCTGCTCGCAATAGTTTCTATGCAACAAGTGCTACAGGAATTCCTTTTGACCATGATCTGCTTCAGACGCTATTAACAAGCAGCAGGTGACAGCCAAGTATCTGCTTATCCCTTATGTGTGAACATAGCTATTGCGAAGCAGACGTGAAGGAAACATTGCCATTTTAAATTCTGCATTACCTCGCTTGCAGCTTTTACATGTCATTCTGTCATTATGACAGCAAAAAACTCGTTCGGTCCAGCAAAATAAAGACATCAGGATGTTGATTTCCAAATCATCTTCTTACACAGGGTGTCCCAAAAAAATGTTTCGAACGTTTGATCGTTAATATCTCCCTTCCCAAGAAGTCTTTTGCCTTGCTTCAAGTACCGTTTTGTAGAGCTGGCTTCAACTTAGATTTGCATTATAGAACGAATCACCCATCTCTCTTCATTACTGTAGGATTACGGTAGAAACATCATAATAAGTTGGGAACTTTACAGTTATAATCAGCAATTCTAATTAGCCTCGTGTAAAAGTTTTCAGGCCGTTTTGTTTCCTTTCTGAGGTAGAAACTTCAAAGAGGGTTTTGAACCATGAAAGGCCATATTTTGCCTCAGAAAGGAAACAAAACGGCCTGAAAACTTTTACACGAGGCTAATTAGAATTGCTGATTATAACTGTAAAGTTCCCAACTTATTATGATGTTTCTACCGTAATCCTACAGTAATGAAGAGAGATGGGTGATTCGTTCTATAATGCAAATCTAAGTTGAAGCCAGCTCTACAAAACGGTCTCTGAAGCAAGGCAAAAGACTTCTTGGGAAGAGAGATATTAACGATCAAACGTTCGAAACATTTTTTTGGGACACCCTGTTATATAAAGCTGAATGTCTGTTTGTCTGTCTGTCTGTATGTATGTGTGTACGTATGTTCCAAATAGAAAATTCCATTTCTAAACCGATTCGGACCAAACTTGGCACACATACACTTCGGGCCCCGGTGGGTGTCATAGGCTACTTTTCGTCATCGATCGATATCGACTCTATCGATTTTTATCGATTTTTTGCAGAGTTCACCTACGGGGCTGGGAGTTGGCACAGGGGGTAAGTGAGCATGGGGATTCCGAATACAATATTACTTTTCAGAATTATCGATTGCTTTTATCGATTTTATTGATTTTTTTTGCAAAGTTTGAGCTACGGGGCTGGGAGTTTGCACAGGGGTAGTCGAGCATGCTGATTACGAATACAATATTAGTTTTTCTAAAAATCGTCCATTACTTTTATCAATTTTATCGATTTTTTTTGCAAAGTTTGGCCTGCGAGGCCGTTTGCAAAGGGGGTAATCGAGCATGCTGATTACGAGTGCAATAATAGTTTGGCGCTATTCTGCTATGCGGGCCCCAAAATTTTTTTGTCGTAGAGCTTGCTCAAACTTCGTGTATAAGGGTTATCTTACGTGCTGAAAACAGATATCACACTTTTTTCCGCAGAACGTCCCCCCGTGTGGTTACGGTAGGTGTACGGTAGGTAGTCAAAATCATGAATTCGGCTGAAGTTTGGTCCAGAGAAATTATTCGACATGCTGATTACGAATTTCATACTCTATCTGCATATTGGAACCTTTTCATAGAGTTATTGTGGTTGTACGGTATGGGGTCGAAAACATAGATTTGCTTTAAACTTCGTCTAAGGTGGTCATTTAGCGCGCTGAACATGAATATCATGCTGGATAGTGCATTTTCTTGGGTTACGGTGGGTGTAGATGGGTCGAAGTTCCAGATTTGCTCAAAGCCTTACCTGTAAGGGTTCAGAAGTATACTGCTTATGAATATGATGCTTGCTCGCTTTCATAACGCATTAGTCAAGTTGTGGTGAATTGCGGGGTTTGAATGGACATTTTTCCGCTTTTGGGGCAATTTAGACCCCAGATATTCACGAAATGGGGAAACGGTTGTTTTGCATGGCGGCCTCCAGCGCCATCCTGATAACCTGTTCCAAAGTGAGCGCACGCGGCAAATGTCCCTCCCCCTGTTTTGCTAAGGCAAAAGCCGCCGAAGGAAGGCATTGCAGTCGTGGGAAACTTTTATGCCACACGAATTGCCATTATCATTGGGATTAAGCACGATGTTCTTGAAACAGCATTTTAAGTAATTCCCTGCCAAGGTTTCAGGCAGGTTCATTATTTTTACCCGCTGCCACGCGAAATGACTATCATATTCGTCATCAGCGGCTTGAATAACCCCCATATACCAAGTTTGAGCAAGACACACCACAAAAACATTTTAGGGCCCGGATAGCCGAATAACGCCATCAATTTCTAGAATTATCCTTACTTTTATCGATTTTATTGTTTTTTTTGCAAAGTTTAAGCTGCGGGGCTGGGGGGTTGGTGAGGAAGGTAGGTGAGCATACTGATTACTCACACAGCGGGAATAGGAAATTGCATGTAGAAGTGGGCACAGGTAAAGGTGTACAGGGATAGAAATGGAACCTTTATCGTTTTTGACAGGGCCGGGCGGAGCCGGGTAAGCCAGCTAGTAACATTTTAAAACAGAAATATTCATAACGGGCAGAAATTTTGAAATTCCTAGATAGTCAAACTATCGTTATTTTCGTAGTTCGCCATATCTATAATCTATCCGCAACTCTCCTAACATCAAGGGGAGAAGCAAGTGGCCCGGGCAGCCAACTGCCGCAGCCAGCCGCCGGAGCTGCTCGGGGAAGATTCCGCTGATGGTACAGTAATTAGGCTCGTCTTTTAAAACTCTTGTGGAGAGGTTTTGCACCTCGTCGCGCTGAGGTGCGATATCAGCCTCAAGAATAGCATATCCTCAATATCCATGTTATCTTAACAGCAGAAAAGCCATATTTTATTGAAAGCATGCAATCAAATACAAAACTATGCCGGAAGATTTCCAGAAACTCACAAACAACCACAAAAGTGAATGAAAGTGAATGAATAGGAAATCACATAGTCTTTCTAACACAAATTTTGTAATCAAAGTATAATAATTTATTGACGCTGTAGATTTAAAAAGTCTCGAATTTTTTTCTGATGAAGAGTTCTTGAATATTGGGCTCAATTTTCAATGAACACTTCAGAATTCAAACTGCGGCTTCGTTGAAGCGGTTATTATGTGTGACTCTTTTCAATTTTAAATCTTTCCTTATTCTGCAACGGGTTTTGAGTTTCAAATTTTCTTCATTATTATTTTTTACTTTTTTTGTATGCGTGGAGAGAGGAGTAACGAATTTTTCGCGTAACCTTGTGCTTAAGTCTTGTTTTCTAGAATAGAATAATACAGTTTGATACCTTGGTGGTCTACGCGGTTCCATTTTATATCAGCATCTGTGGCATATCTTCCTCTTTTATCATTGACCTACTCAATTTGATCAAACTGCTTTGGCTTATTTAGCTCGCTTAACATCATTAGGTATAAAATAATTATTTTGAAAGACTTTTCTTACTGTTATATCCACAACATTTTCCTGTAATTGTTATCGTGCGTTCTCGGACGTTGAAAGCGAAAAAAAAAGATTTACAGAAACTGAAGACCTGCATTTTTCAGCTCCTGCTTATTTAAAGATTCAGAGTGATTCGATTTTGTGACCGTTTTCCTTTAGAAAAACTCTTCTCTATTTAGCTTTGATTTGCATGGTTTTCAAAAAGCATGAACTTTTTACTGTTTGAAATGATCTAGATATCTAGGATATTACCTATCCCTGAGGCTGATATCGCACCTCAGCGCGACGAGGTGCGACAAAACTTTTGGTGGGAGTTTTAGACAAGGAGCGTAATTACTGTACCATTTGCAGCGGCTTTGAAGCCAGCTTTGGCGGCTGCCCGAATATCACTTGCTACGCAAACATCAAGTCAGCTCACTAGCCGCCGAAAAGCTAATCGAGTGCAACGATCAACAACGACTAACCATTAAAAAAGGCTCTCCAGCTCGATATGGTCTGGAAATAGAGCACGTACGTGATGGCAATTGTGGATCCAACAAATTCACGACAATACGACCCACCGGCATGTCATACTTGTACTGCCATTTCGGACGTTACGACCCACTGGTGGGTTGCATGTCTAAACATTGCAAGTTTACAATAAAACTACATGCGATTTCGGCACACGTCTGCAGACGAGCTCTAATTGGACGATTACCATTCGACCGTACGTTCCCGTTGGTTAATGGAAAAAAGAACACGAGGAAGTTGGTGCCGATGGGTCGCATTTCCGGAATGACAGAATTCCATGAATGCACCAATCTTTTTCAAGGTGTTGCCTATGTGCGTTGATAGGGAGATGTTGAAGCTCTACATCTTGGCTGCAAGTTGGGTCTGCGTGAATAAGTGATTAGGGCTTTTTCTTTGGCTGCGTTTATACTGATCCCGAACTTGCGGACCAGCATGAACGCAGCCTTTGCCTTCCCTCAGGAAGAAATGGCCAGCAGGTTAAGGCGGCAACTTGGACCGTTCAAAACATATTAGAAACGCAGAGTTACAAGTACATACACATACATAAACTCACATTTGTTTTGAGGGTTGCAAGTTGGAAAATTGCTTCAGTTTGACGTATCAAATAACACTGGGGTTTGTGCAGTTTACCCAACAGTAAACGGAAATACCCTAGGGAAGTGACATTCCCGATCCTCAGCGTTATTTGCTCTCTGTACAAAACAGAGTTTTTGCTCTTTATATTTGTATTTCAGCTAAGTCGAGTGGTGCGATATATACCAAACCTGATTGTCTTGACTCAGGTGAGCTCTGTCACAACTTTCATCTAGTGAAGTATCATTTGTCAATTATGTCTCAATGCCAAAAGGGCACTTAGATGATTTTATATGCTTACAAATCAACTTTTCATTTTCATTAGGTTGTCAGGAAAATAATGTCGTTTTCTATTTTTCTTCAACAAAGCAACCAGGCTCACCCCAACAAAGGGTATAGGATATGTTCTATAAAGCAAAGCAAGCTCTACAAGGTGGCGTTCATGATTTTGCGTTAAAATCGATCCACGGGAAGTTCGAAGTCCAAATCTAAAAATTTCCAAATGCTCAAAAAATCGAAAAAATTGGATCTCCGCCAGATAATTTCTACGGACCTTCCATTCTGACACGTTAATACTTTCGATATCTGATATCCATACGTGCAGTTGCTGTATTTTTTCCTTCACTAGAAACTGAGCTAACGAAAATTTTTGTGATATTCTTAAAACAATATTTAGCCGTTCTTCATATGAAGTTCTACACTGCAAGCCTGTGTAAGTACAACTGTAAATTTTGAGCCCATTCCGAGAGCGGTAGTTTTCGAGAAATAAGGAATTTAGGTTTTTCTCTTCAGTTTTACTGTTGCGGCAATTCTCAAAACTCACCACTCGGAACAGGCTGAAAATCTACGGTTATGCTTATTTAGCTTGTATTAGGGTGAGGTAAAAAACACCTAGAGAATAAGGGTGGTTTTCTCTAAAAAGAAAAGTAACTAAATTTTTCCATTTGGGCAAATAATGAAATACATTATTCTCTTTCAGGCAGTACCTATATGAGGTCATTTACATACCTAACAATTTTTATACTTGCTGAAATGCACAGTTAATCACTTCGGCAAATCATAAACTTCGGGCAGTATTTGCGCATTGAAACATGTGAGATCATCCAAAGTACCAGTGCCAGTGCTGCAATGATTGAGGATACAATCACCAAACCCAAGCTGGCTTGCTGGTCTCAACGTGTAAAGTCAGGAAATAATTGCGCCAAAAAATCGCAATTCTCCAAGTTTTTGCTTTCTTCACTCAGAAATCAAAAGGAATCCTATACATATGAAATAATTTGGGAAAAACATGAAGAGCTCTTTTCAATGGTATGTCACTTGCTTCATGCTCATGATTCACGGTATAACAGCGCAAGATTGAGAAATGTTCAAAAAATCTTGTTCGAGTTCTTTACGGCGCCATGCGTAGGGTTGCGGAAGAGGAGCGTTAGCGCTTTAATAGGCGAAGTTTGCTTATGTCAGCCACGTTTGAGATGCAGCCTGCTTGCTGTTAATCGAAAGAAATCTCAAAATATAATAAAAGTCAAGCTGTTTTAATTTTTACGGTTTACCCTAATAGTATGGTGTTACATATGCAAGAAGGCTCAGCATTATTTCGAAAAAAACACAAAAATTTTCGTTTAGTTTCTGGTTTCAAGGAAAAATACAGCAACTGCACATGGGAATGTCAGATATCGAAAGTATTGACGTGTGCGAGTGGAAGGTCCGTAGAAATTATTTGAACGAAGTCTGAATTTTTTTCGATTTTTTGGGAATCTGGAAATCTTTAGTCTTTGAGCTCAAACTTTCGGTAGAGAGAATGGCGCAATATCATGAACATCACCTTGTAGAGCTTGCTTTGCTTTATCGAACAATACCCTCCTTTGTTGGGTTGAGTTTAATTGCTTTAAAGCAAGCAAATAAAAAACGACATTATTTTCTTGACATATTATTATTTATTTGAGTCCGCCAAAAGTTCGTAGGAAATCAGAGTTCTATTTTTATCCGTAATTAATAGGTGTTCCTTGAGATTATCAGCAAATGCGTAATTCATCCTGTTTCAAAATGCGGAGGTTCACTGGAACTGAATATCAAAAGCTTTCACCAATTTCTTCTTCTGTTCACCATCGATTGACTTAGATGCCACTACTTTTTGATCAAGCGCTTTAGAGACTAAGAGTGGCTGCAGAGTTGGGTCCATGAAGCTAAACCATACGGATATCAAAACACTTTGTGATATGAAAGAAAATGGCAGATTGTCTTGTTTGCAGGATATCAAACCTTTCCAATGTGAAGAATGCCTTGTGGATCTACTTTGGATTAGACCATACGCTACTGGAATCCCAAACATGCACAACCTGCGGGAGTTTCTTGTCAACCGTGAGACCGGTTTGAAGCTAAATTATAGCTTTAGAAGCTGGGAGGAGGTTTGTTTCAATAAGACTTTGATCGGGATCATGTCTAAATAACGCTAAAAGTGGTGAAACTGCAAACTTTTGCAAGATTTCTTCGAATATCTAAATACACAGGTCGCTTTGTGAATATTTCCTACAGAGCGAGAAATCTGATTTATTATATAACAAGAAAGTGAGACTCGCACAAGCGAGTGCGCCCGAAGGCAACTTCGCTTCCTCTGATCTATAACAGCGCCCATTCAAAATTCGTCGTCTGATTTCAAATGTTCCTCAGGAAGAGATGTTCAACTTTTTTAGAACATAAATCTTGTAAGCACTTGCATTTCCAGAGAGGGGGAAGAAGCAGAAAGAAAACAAAAAGTTGTTTTGCTGATCTAGATTTCGCTTTATTTGATCGTATAAAGGTACTATCCTTTACTGTAAACGTGTTGGACATGATTGTACTGATTTGAAAATTTCGCAAATTTCCTTGGCATTTGCCTCTAGCCCAAAGTACACGATTGGGTCAAAATGAATAAAAGTTCCAAGTGATGAGATTTTGAGTAGGAAACTTGTGCATTCCACCTAGACCTTGCTTTAGAATAAAATACCGGATTATATGCTTATTAGCTGGCTTACCCGGCTCCGCCGTATGTTCCGAATAGAAAATTCCATTTCTTAACCGATCCGGGCCAAACTTGGCACACATACACTTCGGGCCCCGGCGCGTGTCATAAGCTACTTTTCGTATCGATCGATATCGATTTTATCGATTTTTTGCAAAATTTGAGCTACGGGACTGGGAGTTGGCACAGGGGGGTAATCGAGCATGCTGATTACGAATACAATATTATTATAGTTTTCGAAACCGTGCATTACTTTTATCGCTTTTATCGATTTTTCGCAAAATTTGAGCTAGGGGACTGGAATTTGGCAGAGGGGTGTAATCGAGCGTGCTGATCACCCCCACGGGGGTGATCAGCATGCTCGATTACCCCCCCCCTGTGCCAAATCCCAGCCCCGTAGCTCAAACTTTGCAAAAAAATCGATAAAATCGATAAAAGTAATGCACGATTTTAAAAACTAATATTGTATTCGGAATCCCCATGCTCACTTATACCCCCCTGTGCCAACTCCCAGCCCCGTAGCTCAAATTTTGCAAAAAATCGATAAAATCGATATCGATCGATACGAAAAGTAGCCTATGACACGCGCCGGGGCCCGAAGTGTATGTGTGCCAAGTTTGGCCCGGATCGGTTCAGAAATGGAATTTTCTATTCGGAACATACGTACACACAGACAGACATACAGACAGACAGACAGACAGACATACATACAAACAGACATTCAGCTTTATATATAAGATTTTGGCATTCTTTAGAAATACTTGCGGAAAATAGAAAATCGGGTTTTTTCTTTTGGCTCTGGAGAAGGAGTATTTTTCCGATGCAAAAACCATAACTACAGTAATTCTCAAACCATCTTATGTTCAATTATTTACGTTAGAGCAATGCCGCAAAACAATAAAGTGGTTTTAGCTTTATTGTTACAGCAAAATGTGGTCCCTTCAACATAAAAGCTAATTGCACTTTGCTCAGGGGAGTCAGAACTTAACCCAGCCATACCAAACATGCTGTACATCGTCGGGCTCGTCTTAAAACGCTGATTTCAAATATATATATTTATTATCTGCCAAGCGACTATCTGGAAGCAGTTATGAGCGTTCAGATGTGCAAAATTTCTCAAATTTCGACGAATATTGTTCCTTTAAAGGCAGCATGAGGGCAAACCTACAGTGGGTATGGTTACTCCAATCACAAGGAACAAACACTCACCAAAACCTGAATAAGTATTTTTGAAAAGTATTTCGTGGAACATTAATCACAAAACACCTGACAAATCGCACATTCAATCGCTCATAACTCCTTCCAGACAGTGGCTTGGCAGACAATAAACCCATAACTGTGATCAGCGTTTTAAGGCGAGTCCGACAATATACAGTATGTTTGGTATGGCTGGGTTAAGTTTTGACCATTTCCGCTCGGCAGAGTTGAAGATTAAAATGCTCTACTCAGATAATCGCCGGGGGCAGACGGCCAGCGACTTATGGGCAAGCGGGCACAGAAAAAATAGTTCGCTGATTGCGGTCCTCTTGCAGATATTAGGAAGAATATTGGCCAAATTCTAGACGAATGTTCGAGGAATAATTGCGGCTTTTTTATAGATTAGTTGCGGCGCAGTGGCCGCATTCTTGCGCATTTTCCGCAAGAATATGGAAAATTATTAGAGGCCGCACGGCCCTTTGTGAAGGACTGCACAGCCCGTAGGTACTTTTCGCTGAGATATAGTGTCCCAAACTAGGGTGTTTAAACTATCGGCGACACCTCTGCTATATAGAGTTAGCTTTGCTCAGCGTAGCCCGAAACTGCGTAACAAGAGTCCGAGGGCTCGCTGAAAATTTGGCCAGCGCTCGCTGTAAGAAATCATCTGACGACCGCTTGCAGAAAATTCTGTATTGCTGCCCGCTGGCATGATAAGGAACTGCCGCTCGCAAAAGGTTTGGCCACGCCCCCGAAATTCTGGTGATCGTCTGCAAGAAAGCGAGAGTTTGCGGAACGCCTGCGCCCGGCGATTGTCTGAGTACTTGCTAGCAAATCTGAGAATTCACTTACAGCTTGATGTTGCCTTCTATTTTGACGTCATGGACTTTGTGTTTGAAGTATTCAACAAAACTCTCAATCACATAAGCTACTCTTGCTCTTCTTCACCTACGGAAACTTTCTTTGTATTCGACGATGCTTTAGTGGAGCTTACTCGTCCGGAATACGGAGCTTTCAAACAACTCAATGCCTCAACATTTTACCAGGTAAGACCTATTGAAATTTTCTGAGTAAAGCGTTGCGGTCGTGTAGATAGAAAGTTTGGAGTTCTATATTTTTACTATGGAAACGTTACGTTATAAAAGTACGTTATGTGCTCACTATGGAAATTGAATTACTCTAAAGGCAGTGTCTTACTATCATAGCATTGAAATTGCGCGTATCTTTATGTACTTTACTAGATGGTCCCCCAAGTAGGCCACTGCAATAAGTCCGACTCGATTTCCTCCTTTACCTTGAGAAAAATGCCCTCAAATTGTTCCGCGAAGAACGATTTATTCTGCGCGGGCGACATCTCCGGTTCCCCCCCCCCCCCCCATAGGTTTGGGTCAGACTGCGCTAGGAAAGCGGCGTAAAGCGTACGTCGCGTACGCTCCTAGGATGAAACATAGCGTACGCTGCGTGCGCCGCATTCTCAACGAAGTCTGGTCTAGTCCATGCGTGTTTCAACCGTACTTTCACTTAGCGCTCACCTTCTCAATGTGGCTGCCACTGCAGCGGAGGCTTGGGTGAGGAGGTAAGACTCGTCCACGATGTTTGCGCGCGGCCTGCAAAAACGTTTTTGAGCATTTCATGCAATGAAATGCGACTTTCACGCGCACGTTTGACAGGGTCGTAACGGCTTCTAATATGCAAAGATCTCGACAGCCACTTCCATGAGACACTGCCTTCAAGTTGATTGAATAGCTTAGATTTTTGCATGTCTATGTACGCAGCTTAATTTGCTGATTGCGCAGAGTTTGGCCTCAGAAAAGGCCACAAACATGGTTGAGGGGCTAATTTGTTCCTGCAGTGAACAATCGATATGTTGTAAAGGTGCCCCAAATGCTCTCACTTAATCGTGAGAATCTCTTTTCTTGCATTTTGAGCTCAACTTGCCATATTGAAGTATTGACATTACTTTACTTCATGGAACGAATTTTTGATCAATCCTTTTGTGAAGTTAAGTTGGAAAAAACCGCAAAAATTTGCAAGGACAAAAGCTTTTGTTGGAGGTCGGGGTCCCCGGCAAATGGTTTGCCATCTCGGACTTCTACAGATGAGTAGTCTGAATTCAGACTTTCACAATTTCGTGAACATTATATACAGAAGATACTTATACAAGAAAAATGAGCCATTTGCATTGGAGGTTTTGTTGTCAATGAGTGGCTCCAGGATAGCACTGATATAAATAGATTTTCGAATGTTGAACATGACCTTCATTTCTGAATTTTCATTGTTCCTATCATACTTACTTAGATACTTAGATGGCTTGTCTTTACTTGACCTGCGGACCCCAGCACAGAAGTCGCCAGTGATCGCTGTCTTTCGCTTAAGACATCCGCTATCTTCTTTGCTGTCGTCGGTGGTGGTTGCGTCCACGAGTTCCACGGCTGATGTATCCAGCTGATTTCTCAGCTGGTCCATCCGTTCCACAAACATGTTTGCCACCATGTTTGTTTGTTTGTTTGTTTGGTGGTCTTCTTCGGGGACGTTTTGCTTCGCGAGGAGTCCACTCTGATGTTCTTAGTGTCCATCTGTCGTCTGTTCTTCTCATGATGTGACCAGCCCAACGCTGCTTTGCTTGCGCATCGTATTCCACGGGGTCACAAGTCCAACAAGATGTTGTTTGTCGGGTCAACCTCAGAAGACTGCGCTCTAGCGCTCTGTGGGTGGTCCGTAGAGCTTTCGAGGTGGCTACAGTGTCGGCTCAAGTCTCAGCTGCGTAACAGAGCGCTGGGAGAACGGTTGAGTCGAACAGGTGGGCACGAAGCTCGGTCCGTCAGTTGGTCGGTGGCCTCCTTCAGAGGCCCGAAGGCGGCCCAGGCTGTTCTTCTTCTGTTAAGTTCTTCTCTCAAACCGTTTTCCATTTCATCGAACGTCCAAAATACACGTAAGAAGACCTCTCCATAGTAGGGTGTCTTACAATTCTATTGCATCTTCGAATACGGCGTTCTGCATAAACTGAGTCAACTTCCGATTTATTCGCAATCCAATCTTCCTCCCTATTTGTTTAGTTCCCTCAGCATCGTCTCTGCTTCAGTGATACTGCTCGAAAATGGAAGGATGTCGTCCGCAAAACGAAGGCTCGACAGAAATCTATTATCAACTCGTATGCCTCTCTCGTCTCAGTCTAGTGACTTCATCGTCCACTGCAAGGCCGCGGTGAACAGCTTTGGCGAGATTGTGTCGCCCTTCCCATTGGGATGGTTAGAGTGCAATGGAATAGCTGCGTCGTCGTTGTACAGCCTTTGTAGCAGTCGGCTATCGTCTTCAAGTAAGCTGGGTCCACTCCTTGATTGACTAGCGCTGACGGGATGGCGTTGGTTTCGACGCTGTCGAAAGCTTTCGTAGACAAGGTTAAGACGAGAGGCAGTCGTTATTCCCAACAGACACCTATGACCCTCTAAACCGTCGGAATGTGGTCCATGCAGTTTCCTTTGCAAAGTCCAGCTTGTTCTGAAGATTGGGCTTCATCCAGTGTCCCAGGTGTGAGCGCGAAGATAATCTCGCGAAAAGCTTGTAAAACACACGCAAAAGGCATATCGGACGGCAGTTCCGAAGATCCTCCCGTTCACCCTTCTTGAAGAAAGGACGGTTCTTGAAGTTCTTCACTGGTTAAGAACCCTTTCTCCTGCAGCCGAAGTCTTCATTATCTGAAACGCGGTAGCACTTCAGTGAGTAGAATCAGTGGTGATACTAAGTGAGAACAACGGGCATCGGTACGGTTATTGATGAGCGGAAAAGGTTGATGTATTCTATCTTGTATCGGAAAAAGTTGGAATTTCGTGGTCGTTCAATTGTGCAGCCAGCGCTACGTGACATTCACAGAGGTCCCTTCACTTTCTAAGAGTTCGTCTTCCTTAGGCTGCTTCTAATATCTTGACCTACCTGTACTTCCTGAGGTCCTCCTACAAAGCTGTTCTGCAACTGACGTTGGCTATCAGTCACTCAAGATGGGTTGCACTCGGATCTTGCTTCAAAGATCTTCTTCTTTCGAGTATTTTTTGGTAATCTTCGAATTGCGATTCAAGTTCTTCTCGAAAGTCACTGCGGCCCACTCTCCACAGGCCCGCATTCCTTTCAGAATCCGGTCTTAGTCGTACGTTGAGTCCTCCTTGATGAACTAGACACAACTTGATATGAGCTCTTTTAGCCTGTCACCGTCATAAACAACTTCCTTCCTTTTTGCGGCATTGTGGTAGACCTTCTTTTCCATTTCGACTGAATCGTGTCTTCGCTCGAATAAGGCGGGAATCAGAGCCACTACAGAAGGATGGAACTACCGCGACATCTAGCAAGCTTCAACTTCGGTTGGTGAGAATGTGGACGATCTCCGCGTGAGTCGTTCCGTTAGGCGATTTCCATGTTCACCTGCGATGTTCTTTCATCATGAAGATGGAATTTCCATAAAAGAGTCGTGCGGCGGAGAAATGCTCAACAAGACGGTTGCCGTTTTCGTTTCAAAACCCATATCCAAACTTGGATCCTGATAGTATATCCCCTCCCTAGTGGTAACCTAACTTTCGCATTAAAGTCGCTCACAACAAACTTGTAGAATCACTTCTCGTTGCGGACGACCTCCTCCGCGTCTCATTGTCAGAAAGCATCTAGTTCTGAATGGTTAGCTGTTGATGTTGCGAGTGGCAGTTGATGATGCTGATGAACTGACGGGAAGGTCGTAGTCGTAGGATGGCTAGTCGAGGTATTAGGATCTCATTTCATCTGTCTCATGTCCTTCTTCTCGGACTTCGTTTCCTGCAGAGCTATGGCGTGGTACTTGATGTGCTCTGCAGCGTCGAGGCGAACGTGGAGATCGGCGTTTGTGGAGGCTGCTCTGGCGTTGCAGGTGCAGAGCATTAGGCAGTGTTCATGGCGTATCGTCCAGGCAGACATGTTGTTTTTGTCTTAGGCCAACTCTTGATTTCCGCGGGGCGACCGCTAACCTCGGGTGTGGAGCGAAGAACCGCCTAGCGATCAGAAAGCCAGACGGCAGGGGATCTGGTCTTAGGTCTTAGCTGGGCATCTGACCCAAACTGTCGAACTTTCTCACATTGGGTGACCCTACCAGACTATACGCCGGCTGTGGATTGCAGTCCGACACCCAGGGCCACCCACATGCCACGATGAGGCGGCGGACCATAGTGGAGGGTTCCTATCATCCAAAGGTATATACCCTAATTTCCGGGGTATAAGGCGCAGTAGCTTTCACCGCGCGCGGACTGTTGTATGATGACATTCGCGATGCGCGGCGCCGCTCAAGCAACCAACAGCAAACTTTTTCACCCAGCAGTAGCTTTTTGCTCTCATCCTTTGTTGTTTTCTTCTCAATCGTGATCAGAGGTGCGATAGGTGGAGCCGGGCCCCCCAAAAGTGAAGGTGATTCCAGCTACCACTGACCGGCCAAAAGTGAAGGTGGTAGTGCCAGACACTCACCTCCCAAAAATGTCGACGGGCGGGGGGGGGGGGGGAGGACGGACGAGCAGAGCTATCTTTCTAGGTCGAACTGTGACCCAACGGCCCTCTTTAGGGCCACAGATACGATAAATATTAAAAATATTTATAAATTTCATTTATAAAAATTTAAAATAGACATGTTTAGTAAATGGTGTATTTGGAGGTAAAAGTTTGTTTAACTGTACGGATTTTATTAAGTAAATTTTGTCATAACATACTGCGAAGGAAGTAGGTCGATTTAGGCAGTACCGGCTGAGAACCAGAATTTTGAATATTTACATAGTAAAAAATCATGCGAAATTTCCACCGCTGTAAATCTGTTGTTTGAAGATGTCAGCAGTTGCGACTTCATAGGTTTTAACGAGTAAAGGTGCTCTATCAGATAGTGAAGGAATCGAGTCGATTTGAGAGGTAGTCGTTGAAAACCAGAATTCTAAAATTTCACGCCATTTTTGCGTGTTTTTTGACAGTTGACAGTTAAACTCATATAAATCTTGAAAGTGAAAGTGTGTGATGTTGCGACTTTTGCAGAGCAAGAATTTCTCTATCG